GGAGAGTTGGCAACACCTCAGATTTAGGCCCGTTTGTGTTCCCTGGCCTCCCTTTGCCCCTCAAGGCTGCTGGGAAGTGTAGGCAGGGAGGTATGGCAGCTCCATTGTTCCCTATGGAGTATCCCCCCCCCACACACGTAAGGAACTACCAGGCGGGTATCCATTTTGCGGTTTATAATTTATTTATTTCCTTTAGAAAGCCAATATCATATGGAGTTACACAGATTGCATATATACAAACTTCTTGTACAACATGTACTTTTCCTAACAACACAGAGTGACAGATCCTTCAGATTTCATTTCATTTTAACCTTCCCTTTTTTTTCTTTCATTATTTTCCCTGCATTTTGGACCATCATATCTTTCTAGGAATTATTACATCCCACAAATTCTTATCTGCATTGTAAACCTTTCATGATTGTACAAATACCATCTCATACCTCATAGACAATTTTCTGCATTCCATATATGGGCTTAAATTTATAATTTTATAAATAGGTTTTAGTCTCTTTTTTATTTTTTATGTATAATTTTCTGTTTTTCCCATATTTTCAGCATTATATTAATCCCTTAATTTTAAGGGCGGGTATCCATTTTAAGGCCTGGCAGCCATTTCGTCACACCAGTGGGGTAAAAAGACACTAGGGAACGTCTGGTAGCAAACGGGTTGCTACGGGCCAGGGACAGACTTTCCCCTGTGTGATCGCTCCAGTGTGCTCCCATGGCATCGGGATGGTCTGATCGGGCCATCCTGATTCCATGCCGTTTTCCCCCACCCCCGTTTCAGTATGCGCATCATCGCACTCTCCATAGGGAGCACTCAGTGCCGAGATGCGAATCATCAGCCCCTCGTTGAAGCGCACCGGAAACATGCAGCAGCCCCCCCCAACCCAATTCACTGCATCTGATCACGCCGTGGTGGGCTGCCCCTGCAGCTCTCGGGGACTGTGTGATCGCGCAAATGCTGGTCAAATTCCTGCAGAGCAAATAGCCTCGCTCCCCCCCCCCTTATCTCGTTTGTGTGACTAAAACCGTTGTTAGCATATTCAAGGGGGGGGGGAATCGTTTTCTCACTGTATCAGCTTGCAGACCGATGGAGAAGGAAACTGACTTATGCGCCTCTGTAGTCATCTCCTTTCGTTTCCCAACAGTTGAAGCCATTGATCGACCGATCTGAGAAGTTCCAGGGGAGCAAAAAGCTATTCACGGCCACAATGGGAAGCAAGAGCAAGTAGAAGAAGAGCTGAAACTTCGAGCAGACAACCGGGCTCCACTTTGTCATTCCGAGATGAGACAGAGAAAAAGAGTGTTGTGGCTCAACAGGCATATAATTATTTTCCCCACACACAATTCCTGTAGCAACGCTGCCTCGCTCAGTGACACAGGGCTCTGTTCTCATCTTTGACAATGCAGAAATGAAGTTCCCACAAAGCTGGGCTGCACTCGTTTTGAGCCTCCTCGGGCAGGTATTTCAATGGGCATGCAATTCCTTACCGGGAACTGCTGGTGATTATATCTGTACTCACCTCTACACACCAAAAAGCTCCACAATTGTATTCATTTATTTATATTATTTATAGTCTGCCTTTCTCAAGTGGTTAAGACGCGGAAGCTGCAGACCGGAAGGTCGGTAGTTCAGCAGTTTGAGACCCAAGTGCCGCATGACGGAGTGAGCGCCCGTCTCTGGCCCCAGCTCCTGCCAACCTAGCAGTTTGAAAGCAAGAAATTGCAAGTAGATAAATAGGTACCGCTTCAGTAGGGCTGCCAAGTGGGGGCAGGTGGCGGGTAAACCCCCGCTTTGGAGGCCCAATTTCTGCCGCCGTGGAATCGGGCCCCGGGGGGAACCCCTCGAATGGTCGTGGCCCTGCCCCCAGCGTGCCCGGCGTCATAACGTCACTTCCTGGTGACGTGCAGGCAGCGTGTGCGTGCTTACTCACCTCTACACACCAAAAAGCTCCACAATTGTATTCATTTATTTATATTATTTATAGTCTGCCTTTCTCAAGTGGTTAAGACGTGGAAGCTGCAGACTGGAGTGCCGCATGACGGAGTGAGCTCCCGTCTCTGGCCCCAGCTCCTGCCAACCAAGCAGTTCAAAAGCAAGAAATTGCAAGTAGATAAATAGGTACTGCTTCGGTGGGAAGGTAACAGCGTTCCGTGCGCCTCGGCGTCTAGTGATGTCGGCCACATGACCACGGAAACGGCTCTGGACAGCGCTGGATCTTCGGCTTGGAAACGGAGATGAGCATCGCATCCCTAGAGTCTGATTCAACTGGCTTTTGAGCAAGGGAACCTTTACCTTTCTCACAGGGACTTAAGACAGACTATACGTACTGAGTCAGTACAAGCAACAAAATGGGGCATTCAGTAACCATTGCATGAGGATTTTAGAAATCTGGAAGGAGCCACCAGAAAGAACTATAACATAGCATAAGTATGAACATGACACATTAACTGGTACAGAAATTACATAACAGGCTCCTACTTAACAATTAGTTTACTTTTGTTTTATTTTTTTATTTATCCTGCCTTTCCTCCCAATGGAGAACCAAAGCGACTTGCATCATTCTCCTCTCTTGCATTTTATCCTCACAACAACCCTGTGAGGTAGGTTAGGCTGAGAGTGTGTGACTGGCCCAAAGTCACCACACAGAGAGGCTATGTTTTTGTCAGCACTTATTGCCAGGACAGCGAATCATTTTGGCCCAGGCTGGTACTAAAGGGTATTGAAGCGGTAAAGCAGGTGGCAACGGATTGCAGATCTCCAATTGCAGGTGCATGATCCCTTTGAAATGTTTTTCTTTTTTTAAAAAAATGATAAAGCAGAGATACACATTAATTGTGCATGGCCCCATGTGAGAGACAAAGGGATCAAAACATGTAGACATTACAGGTCACATTCAGTTTTCCCTCTAAGCTGAGTTAGTGTGAGCTAGCTCACAGTTTGTTAGCCTCCGGCTCACACATTTTTGTCTTAGCTCAGGAGGGATGGCTCCAGAGCAACCTAATTTATACAGTACCAAAGCGTGATCAAAACTTTAATGCCAGTAGCTCAGAAAGTAGAATTTTTGCTCACAAGACTCCACAGCTTAGAGGGAACATTGGTTTTTGCCCTTCCATTGTTGGGGCTTTTGTGTGTGTGTGTGTGGTCACATTATGAGAAGACAAGAGAAACTGGAAAAGACAATAATGCTCAGAAAAGTTGAAGCTCGCAGTAGACAAAAACCTAACATGAAGAAGAAGAGGAAATTGGATTTATACCCCGCCCTTCACTACCAAGGGAGTCTCAGAGCAGCTTACAAACTCCTTTCCTTTCCCCTCCCCACAACTGACACCCTGTGAGGTAGGTGGGGCTGAGAGAGCTCTGACAGAAACGGCTCTTTTTTCAAGAACAGCTCTGCCAGAACTATGGCTTGCCCAAGGTCATCCAGCAGCTGCAAGTGGAGGAGTGGGGAATCAAACCCAGTTCTCACAGATTAGAGTCTGCGCACTTAACCACTACACCAAACTGGATTGACTCAATCAAGGAAGCCACAGCCATCAGTTTAGAAGACCTGAGCAAGGCAGTTAAAGGATAGGATGTCTTGGAGGTCATTAATTCATTGGGTTGATTAAGATTTGCAGCTATGTTGGTCTGAAGCAGCAGAACAAAATTTGAGTCCAGTGGCACCTTTTAAGACCAACAAAGTTGTATTCTACACACTAAATCTTATACCCACTGGACTCAAACTTTGTTACATTCAGTTTTACTTATTTTACTGTATTTTGATTGACTTGCCTTATAATTTACCGGCTTTTGGTTGATTTTTATTATATGTTCTTGTGGTGGAATCCTCCTTATGAACATTCTAGTGGAAAGGCGGTCTGCTAATAAACGAGACTTGAGTATAATTTCCTTCAAAGCTGGCAAGCTGTACTTCCTAAACTAGCCTTTCCCACTTTCTCGCACCCCCCTTCGGCCTTCTTGCATCTTACTTTATTTTATTTATAGTCCACATTTCCCACTTGGACTCCAGGCAGCCACGGCCCTCAGTTTAGAAGACCTGAGCAAGGCAGTTAAAGGATAGGATGTTTTGGAGGTCATTAATTCATTGGATTGATTAAGATGGGCGGCTATATTGGTCTGAAGCAGCAGAACAAAATTTGAGTCCAGTGGCACCTTTTAAGACCAACAAAGTTGTATTCTACACACTAAATCTTATACCCACTGGACTCAAACTTTGTTACATTCAGTTTTACTTATTTTACTGTATTTTGATTGACTTGCCTTATAATTTACCGGCTTTTGGTTGATTTTTATTGTATGTTCTTGTGGTGGAATCCTCCTTATTAACATTCTAGTGGAAAGGGAAATAAATGACACTTGTTTAAATTTCCTTCAAAGCTGGCAAGTTGTACCTCCTAAACTAACCTTTCCCACTTTCTCGCATCCCCCTTCAGCCTTCCTGCATCTTACTTTATTTTGTTATTTATAGTCCACATTTCCCACTTGGACTCCAGGCAGTCCCTGCAAAGATGCACATCAATCGCTAATCAGAGAGCGCTGATTGGCTGCTCTGGCCCACCGGTATTCAAATAACTCCTACTCCACTCCCCACGCTCAGAAACCATGCGAGAGAATTCGGAAACTGAGCCGAGACGCCCCATTGGCTGAAGATAGAATTCGCCTAGCTTCCCAGCTCCGCCTTTCATTGGCCCGGCTTCCGTCTTGGTTCTTACGACATTCGCCCCGAAGATGCACATCAATCCCTTACGAGGGCACGCTGATTGGCTACCCCTGCCAGTCGATTAGCATATTCAAATCGTACCTCTCCTTTTCTCCTCCGCCGGTGCCGGGAAACTCGAGCGGACAAACGCCATTGGCTGAACCGGAGAGTGGTCTCGTCCAAGGTCCCCTTTCATTGGCCAAGCTGATTTTTCAGTCAGCAAGGGAAAGCCCGCCTCTTGAGGTGTCCCTGTCAGGCTTTGCCTGGCGTGCTTCATTTAGTGTTGGGATTTGGGGGAAGGAGGGAGGTTCTTTGTGCTGTGCGGAGCTGGAAGCGGGTCGTGCTCTGGACCGGCATCTCGCAAGCAGAGAGCTACATCGCAAGGCAGGAGGTGCCTGGTAATTATTTTATTACAGTTATAAACTGGTTCTTATTATTGCTCTTTGCCTCCCTATTTTCATTTCCTTTCTGGTTGCTTTCCCCTTCAGCACTTTTTCTTTCCACCTGAGGCCTCTCATTTTGAATCTCCTTTTTATTGGGGTGTAGGTGAGGGGACCCCGCCATTTCAAGCTCTTTGCCTCATCAGGCCATTTGCAGATTCATCATTAAACTGCAGTTCAAGGCGGTATTGATCTTTATGGCCCTAGCTGCGAGTGCCAAACCTGACATTTGTCAAAATGGCATTTTGTGGATAAAGGAAATCGCTACTTCTCTTTATGAATCCTCTTTATGAATCCTCTGGTATGAATCCCTGGGCCCTGTTTGCACTGATGCCGGAGGCATTTGCGTGTGTCTGAAATACATTTTAAATCATCCCTGCTTAGGAACGGCTGATCTTCCTCCTGGCTAAGAAACATGCCAATGGAAAATAATTGGTCCTTAAATTAGATGTGGCCTAAACTGATTTTCCCATTGGGAGGGGGGGTTCTTCCTCCTGCTCAGACCTGTATTAAAGAAGGATTTGGCCATGCCGTTGTGCATTTGCAAATGAAATGTTTCAAGGAGGGGAACGTCTTGTGCTCTTGCCGGATGCTTGCTGGGGATCTGGTGCCATTCTGTCATGCAGAATAGATGTATTTCAGCCAAGCGCTAAATGTATTTTTGTGAAGGAGCAAGCTGCATGCAATTTCTATGCTAATGCTGGAAAGATTAAATCTGAGCTAGCCTCCACCTTGTGCCGCCCTGCCATTAGGAAGCCGGGTTTGTGGGCCAGCTGCCTGTACACAACTTTGCAAAACAGGCAGAACTGGAGGTAGCCGATCTGATTTCGGAGTCTTGAACTGTTGTTGTGGAGCCGATTGCTTGCTTCGGCAGCGCGGCTGGTCTAGCCCCTGGAAGCTTGCGTTTCTGTGTGCCAGATCTTAGCCTGAAGTGAACTTTTGTCTCAGCCGTAAAAGCCAGGAAGTGAAAGATTCTGACTCGTAAACCAACTTTCGAATGCAGCAATGCCAGGTTGGAATTTTCTTTGGCCGTAAATTTAGCAACAACCTCTGGATAGGTATTTTTTTGTTTGTTTGTTTTGGCTATCAGACCCTTATGAGTAGCGTGACTACTAAGAGTAAGATTCAAGTCCAGTAGAATCTTAAAAGACTGACAAGATGTCCAGATAGATCCAGGTGGGTTGCCAAGTTGGTCTGAAACATCAGAACACAGTCCAGTGGCACCTTTAAGACCAACAAAGTTTAATTCCGGGTATAAGCTTTTGTGTGCATGCACACTTCTTCAGGTACGTTGAAGTGGAAGCTTCCAGGCCCTACATATAGGTAACAGGGTGAGCAGCAAATTAGCATAAGCATAGTAAACAGTGTTTAACAGATGCAAGGACCAAACTGGAATAACAAGCTTACATTATATGGTCACCGTTTGTTTCGGTTTGATTCCAGGGGAACACATAGTGAAGGAAATAAATATATCAAAATCAGAGGTAGGTGGGCAGATCTGTTCTCCTTAACCGTGGAATGTTGAGAGTCATTAACTGAGACCTTGTTACGCTTCACCCGTCTCCTCTTAAGCGTGCAGGTAATTTTACAGTGTCCTTTTCATGGAGGTGGGGCCAATCATTAAAACTTTGTTGGCCTTTAAAGGTGCCACTGGACTTGAACTTTGTTCTAAGATTTCCAGAGAACAGCTAGGTTTGAGTCCAGTAGTAGCTTAGCAACCAAAAAGATTTTGGGGGTGTGAACTTCCAAGAGTTAAAGCTATCTTCGTCCACTGATGTCTGATAAAGGGAGCTTTGACTCTCAATCAGTGCTCCCTCTAAGCCAGTGGTGGCGAACCTATGGCACGGGTGCCAGAGGTGGCACTCAGAGCCCTCTCTGCGGGCACGTGTGCCATCGCCCCAGCCAGGCCCAGACCATCATTAAAGTGTCGAATTCTCTGCCAAATAATTTTAAGTAAATGAAAGCATTTGGGATTGTGTTCCTTACTATGTTTGGATCATCTTAAGTTAATGTTTGAGTGGTTTCTTCTAAAGTTAAAACCTCAGTATTCAGGTTAAATTGCCGTGTTGGCACTTTGCGGTTTTGGGTCGCAGTTTGGGCACTCGGTCTCTAAAAGGTTCGCCATCACCGCTCTAAGCTATGGAGTCTCGTGAGCAAAAATTCTACTTTGTGAGCTACTGGCATTACAGTTGGGAGCAAGCGATTTGGCTGCTCCCTAATTCAGTTTGCTTTGGAGCCATCCTTTGGAGCAAAGACGAATATGTGTGGGCCGGAGGCTAAAAAACTGCGAGCTTGCTCACACTAACTCAGCTTGGAGGGAACACTGCCCTCTCAACCTCTTATACCCTGGAAATCTTGTTGGTCTCTAAGGTGCTACTAGATGCAAATCTTGGTTCTTCTCCCTGAAGATCAGCATGGCTACCCTCCTGAAGCAGGACTCTGCTAAGGTGATCGTAGAATAAAATAAGCAAAAGAGGCCCTATTGAGGTGCCGCCATTATTTCTAGGTTATGGCTTACTTAGGTAAAGGTAAAGGTTCCCTTGCTCGAAAGCCAGTCGAATCCGACTCTAGGGTTGCGGTGCTCATCTCCGTTTCAAAGCCGAAGAGCCAGCGCTGTCCAAAGACGTTTCCGTGGTCGTGTGGCCAGCATGACTAAACACCAAGGTGCACGGAACGCTGTTACCTTCCCACTGAAGTGGTACCTATTTATCTACTTGCAATTTCATGCTTTCAAACTGCTAGGTTGGCAGGAGCTGGAACTAGAGACGGGAGCTCACTCCGTCATGCAGCACCCGGGTCTTGAACTGCTGAACTACCGACCTTCCATAGCCTGCAGTTCAGCGTCTTAACCACTTGAGCCACCGCTGCTCCTATGGCTTACTTACCCAACCTATTAATTGTGCTCTTTCGTTTTTATATTAGATCATAAAACTGCAAGGAAAAATTGATAAGAGAAAAAGCCCTATAGCTCTGCTGCTGATTTGTGTTTTTCTGAATGAGACACGATAGATTACTTTTTAAACAAGTATGAATGGTCTTTTTTTTTTTTTATCAGCCTTACAAATAAGCCTAGGAGAGCTGCTAGCCCATAACATGGTTTACTAGCCAGGATATGTCTCTGCTTGTAATTTGTGGCGACCTGAAGAAGAAACGCTTTCTTCCTTCAAGTTTACAAAAGCTTCTCTGTCTGATCACCTGCAGACGGTTTCTGCTCGCTGCAGGAGACCAAGCAAGTTGTTTAAGACAGGCCAGAACTAGGGTATGCTTCAAATGTGCATTTTGGGATTTCTTTTTGCATCTGTGTGATGCTGTGTGCTATATGCGTAAGTGAATGGTATTTGGAGGTTGGAGGAGTTCCCAGGGAAGTATTACCAAACATAGTCATAAGCAGTGCTCCCTCTAAGCTGTGGAGTCTTGTCAGCAAAAATTCTACTGGGGCCCCGGTCACACGGGTAGGAAAATGTGGGGGGGGGGAGCGTGGCTGTTTGCCCCGGAGTAAAATAAGGTGCGGCTGCGCGATCAGATGTCCCGTCGAGGTCCTGTGGTTAGGGGGGAGGTGCCAATCACAGGACAATCCTGCGGCGTGGCAAAGAAGCGGCCTCCCTAGCAAAAGGCTCCACGGGATTAACCCCTTCCAGGGCTGCAGAGGAATGCAAACTGTGTCCTCCATCCGGTCCCCTCCAGGAGGAGCCTCAGCCGGGCCGCACCCCCGCCACGCTCCCCCTGCACCTCCCCCTCTGCCGCCCGGTGCAGAGAGTTCCTCTCGAGCAGGCTGAGCCAGGAGTGGGGGGGTACGGAAAAGAGGAGGGGGCTGTGTTGTTTGTTTTTAAACGAAGTGTGCGCATGCGCCGTTGGGTGCTTGTGCACATCCCGTGGAGACTTGGAAAACCCCCCACCTTTTAGCGACAGGACATGGGCGGGCACCGGATACCACGACCTACCACCGGAAACGTGATCAGGCGCCTGCCCTTGCCCCGCGGTTTCCGGAAACTAGTACCTCGGAGGTACTAGTTTTTTACCCCACATCTTCGGCGGGAAGCCTCGGGTTCGCCACGGGAGCTCTACGCTTCCCAGATGTGGCTCTGTGATCGTGCCCGGAAAATCCGCCTATCTTCCGTCTCTGTAGCGTGGCTAATGCTCCGTGTGACCGCAGCCTTTGTGAGCTACTGGCATTAAAGTTGTGAGCAAGCAGTTTGGCTGCTGCATGAATTCGTTTGCTCTGGAGCCCTCCTTCCTGAGCTAAGACAAAAACGTGTGAGCTGGAGGCTAAAAAACCGTGAGCTAGCTCACACTGCCTCAGCTCAGAGGGAACACTGGTCATAAGCCCCTTGTAAGTTGTCTGCTTCTGTAGCAGAGAGCATAGGCGTAATCTTTGTGGGGGCGGCGGGGCTTCAGCCCCCGCCGAAATTTTCAGGAAGGTGCTCAGCCTCCCCCGGGAGCCACCCTTGCTCCTAGCAAAGCAATGCCTCTGGCCCAGCCCCAGCCCCCCCCGGGAAATTGGAAAGTCTACACCCTTGGCAGAGAGCAGGACACAGACTAGAAGCCCAAGCAAAAACATATGAAAGCCCCATAAAAATGTATGCAAAGAATCTAAGAGAAACCCTGCTGGATCAGAACTGAGGTCTGTCTGTTCTGATCCAGCAGAGTTTCTCTTAGATTCTTTGCATACATTTTGCATACTGGAACTGAGGCCTGTCTGTTCCAGTAACATGCCTGCCCACAGGTGCCCCATAAGGAAGGCACAAAGGCCTTTCCCTGCTGCATTCACCCCCCACCAGATGGCTTTCGAGAGATACGCTACCCTGTTTAGCCATTATTAAGGAGAAGAAGAGATTGGATTCATACCTCGCTCTTCACTACCCGAAGGCGTCTCAGAGTAGTTTACAATCTCCTTCCCCTCCCTACAACAGACACCCTGTGAGGTAGGTGGGGCTGAGAGAGCTCTTTCGAGAACTGCT